CCCCCACCATGGCTGTTGTCTTGGGCGGGCGCCAGGCTGGCGACATCTGGTCAGTGTTACGGGAACCTGGGGGGGGCGGAGGGTGTAGCTGAGACAGGGGCAGCTCAGTGCATGCGGAGCCTGCCCAGCACTCAGAGGCCCCTGCTCTCTAGCCATGCCTCAGTTTCCCCCACTGTCCCTGGGGTCTCCCGCTGTGGCCCCGACCCCACCCCACTCCTCCGCAGGGCACGTACAGCACCGGGCGCGGTGGGTCCTGGCTGGGGTCGTGGGTGCAAGCACACTCTAAGGGACTTGGGCACCGGGAAGGAGGGGAGGGGAGGGACGGTTCGCAGCAGTGGCATGTGTGCGTGTGCAAGGGGGAGACACACAGCCCACGCTGGCGGGGACGCGGTCTGGGCACCCTGCTGGCAATGTCTGGGCTGTGGCAGGACAAGGAGCTGATGTGGCTGCCTCCGCTGCACCCATTTTGCAGAAAGGGAAACTGAGGCACAGAAATTGTGCAGCGCAGGAAGAGATTCCCAGGGGTGATGAGGGCAGGGGGGTCCCCCGGGGGGGCTGCAGGGCCCTGGCCAGCCCACGCGGGCGTGTGCATGTCCCTGCCCCCCTCCTGTAGCCCCCCCCCACCGCCAGCGGTGTCTTGCTGGCCTTGCGCCAGGTGCTGCTTGTTTGTGTGGAGGCCGAGGCTGCTGGTACGCTGGCTCGGGGCCAGGCCCGGAGCCTGGCCAAGGCGGCCGTCGCGAACACTGTGTTCCAGCTGCACAATGGGCGGGCGGGAGCGGGCAGCAGGTACCGGGCAGGCGGCGCCGGCCCTGCCCTGGCCTGGCCTGGGCCTGGGCCTGGGGCCCGCACCGGGGTGGGCTGAAACCGGGCAGGGGTGCAGCACCCGGGCCTGGAGCACCGTGCATCGAGCGTGCTTGTGTTCACGTGTGTGTGCACGTACGTGTGTCAGTGTGCAGATGTGCTGAGGGCACGGCGATGTGCCCAGGGAGTTGGACTGGGCCGGACCCGGTGTGCCCCCTGCCCCGTGGGCCAGGATCGGGGCCATGCAGGGCCTGGGAACAGGAAGCGGGGCCATCTCCCTGCCCTGGAGATGCGTCCCGCGGGGCCTGGATGCGTCGGGGATGCGTCATCCTGGCAGCACCTGCCCCCCGCCCCCGTGCCTCAGTTTCCCCAGCTGTGCCCGGAGGTGGGGGCAGAGCTCATGCCACCCCACACACCCGGGTCTGGGGCAGCCTTGAGCCTGGGGGGCATTGGCAGAGCTCAGGAGCTTCCCCTGCCCCCCAGCCCCAGGGCTTGGCTTTTCCCTGCAACCTCTGCCCCACCTCCCGACCCCGGGGTCCCCGGGGGCTGCTGGTTCCCAGGGCCCCGGGGCCGTGGCTGGAATCTCCGGCATCTCCGGCCCCGCGGCTGGCGGAGGGGGGACGCGACAGCAGGGCGCTGTCGCATGCGGCTGCTTCTGGGGTGCAATGCAGCGCCCAGCGTGGGGCCGGGCGGTGCTGGGAGCTGTCCCCCCCCATGGCTGGGCCCCAGGCTCCGGGACACAGGTTGCACACGTGTGTCCCCCCAGGGCTCCACGCCTGCCTCTGCCCCTCGCCTGAGAGCCACAACTGGAACCAGATGTGCGGGAACGCCGGGGCGGGGGCCGGCACCGGAAAGCTTGAGTCATCCCCTCTCTCCGGCTGGGCGGGGGGCAGCATGCAGGGGCCCCCAGGCAGGGCCAGGCCGGGTGACTGCGTCCCTCCCGTGTGCCCTGCACCCTGTTGTCTCCAGACCCACTTGCCTCTGCCCGTGCAGGGGGCTCCAGGGAGCCGGCGTCTGCCCCCGGAGAGATGGGACAGGTGGGCGTGGGCACCTGTGTTGGGACAGCTCCGGCCGTAGCATCGATCGCCAGGACCGAGCCGCCCCACGCAGGGCAGGGCGCACGTCCCCGAGACCCAGCCCTGTGCTGTTGGTGGCGGGTGCTGCCGGGGGGCCGAGCTCTGCTACCTGGTGATGGAGGGTCTTGTACGGGTGGACCCCGGCGGTGCAGCTCCGTGCAAGGGGAGTGCTGGCGCTGGCATGGGTGCACCGGCCCTGGGCATGCATGCACCAGCCCCGGGCAGGGGTGCACCAGCCCCGGGCATGCATGCACTGGCCCCGGGTAGGGATATGCCGGCCACCCCGGTCCCCTGCGGCCTGCCAAGCCCCAGCCTCTGGGCCTGGTTTGACCTAGGTGGTGGCAGCCTCAGGCTCCAGCGCTGCCCCTCTCCCTCTCCCTCTCCGCTGGGAGGCGA